ACACCCTGGTCTGACATTGAAGTGCCTCCCCCAAGACGACCCACTGTTGATAGAGGCAGTCAGCTGTGCTCGTGGCCGTCCTTCCTGTGTGGACGACAATAAATTAAGTGACGACTTACCGGCCTTACCATTATCGGTTGTTGTTGATGACGATTCTGATACCATTAAAGCATTGAAGGATTACGTCTGTCTTAAGCAGAAGGACGACCCTGAATTGAGGAGTCTTCTCTGCCCTTCTCCTAATTCGAAACCGGATAGTAGGACCCTTCGAAAGTACTCCGTGGTCATTGGTCCATCCGGCAGATCTAATGATGGTTATGTTATCAATTCTGTTACCCGTGGTCTAGTTGTACCTCGTGAGTTGAGACGAGAAGTATGTGATAGACTTCACTTGTACTTTATTCATTTGGGCGCCTATAAGATCTACAGGAGTATCAAGTCGGACTTCGATGCTGGTCCTCTCTCAGAGTACTTGAAGGCCCAAAAGCGCTGTGTCATTTGTCAAGCGCAACGGCAGTCTCGAACCGTTAATCATACTTTCGGTTCTCAGCTTACCAAAGCAGCTCAGCCCTGGGAACTCTTAGGAATCGACCTTATCGGTCCTTTCCGCCAAGATGAGTTCCGCGCTCCTCATTATGATTCATTGATGTCTTTGTTGGTGGTCGACGCTTTAACTGGTTATGTTACCTACGCTATTGTTCCCGACAACGCTCCTACCCATTTAACCCTTATTGCTTTAGAGGGCATTTTCCTAGCTCGTGGTTACCCTCTGGGTTTGCTCTCCGATTCAGACGCTCGCTTTACAAGTACTGCTGCAGTGGCATGGAGCAAGGCCCTTGGCATTAGGTGGGCACGGAGCCCGGGACACGCTAGTCGATTGAATGGCTGGCATGAATCCCGCCACAGATTGGTGAATTTTATGTTAAGATGTCTCATCCAGCAGACTGGCAATAAGATTCACTGGACAATCTTGATGGCTAGGGTATGCTATATTGTTAATAATATTGTTCACTCTTCTCCGTCCTCCAGCTCCTTCAGTAGCGACCTGCATTTCGT